ACTCTAAGCAGTGTTCTGTGCTCGTCTGTGCAGCCAAAGACAGAACAGTTAGCATGTTTTGCTCAAACTTTCACCATGGCATTGGAGCTGGTACACTGTTGTCGCTTGCGAAATCAAAATGACGGCGCCGTGGGTGAAAACTTACAGATTAAGAGGCGGTAATATTATAATGTGATCCCTTTGCCACGTCACCAAGGGAGCGAAATCTGATACGCTTGTTTTCTCAGACACTTGCAGAAAAAGGCTTACCAAAACAAAGTTACTGGGTTCATCTTTTTCACGTTTCCTTGGTTGGTAGATGCACAGAGGACCTGATTATAGCACTTAAAACCTGGAAAAGTCCGATTTTCATGATATGTCACCTTTAAGAAAGAGTCATTCAATTTATTCACTCAACCGATTCGTTCAAACGTACTAATTCATTAAGGAACGACACAAGTAACTGCTTTTAGGAACGAGTCATTGAATCATTCATGTACCTGATTTGTTGGAAAACACTTGATTTATTCGCAAAGAAACACTTTGTTTCTGCTTCTGCTTTGTCTTTGTTTGTAAATATATTTTCACGGTGGAGCAAATACAGACAAACTGACTATTATGTCTAAAACGTTTTGTATTAAATATTAACGTATTTTTTAGTGCATTCAAACATTTTAGACTAACGTGAAAATTTAGTAAAAAGTAACTTATTAATAATAATATTAATTTTCACAACAGAAACAGAGAGCAAAAGCAAGGCAGTTTTCGTTTCATATTGAGAGTATCATTTTATTTTTTTAAATATTTTCATTATTCAACATTCATAAAAAAAAAAAACATTTGTAACCACCAAAGCATTTATGTAGAATACATTATAAAGGTATTCATAATGTACATCGTAATGTATTATAACTTTTCATAAATAGCTGCAATCAAAGTTAAATTGCATTATAATATTTGAAAGTTTTGTTTTTCATTTGATTTAATGGATTCAACTTTCTAAAGGTGTAACAATTAAGAGATAAGTATTATAATGTATTATAACTGTGGTTACAATTATTTATGAGATCATGCAATGCATTATAAGGCGCATTGCAAAGCATAATTAATTAGGGGTGCTCCGATTGATCGGCTACCGATCACTATCGGCCGATAACCGCTTTGGGATGATTGATCGGCGGTCTCTAAAAAGGCCAATCTCAAAAAAACGATCTCAAGGTGATGACGCGCTGCCGTGAGAGGTTTGGCACGACATGCAGC